TGGAGAGGGACTGGAGGACCATAGAGAGGGACTGGAGGACCATGGAGTGGGAAGGGAAGACCATAGAGAGGGACTGCAGGACCACAGGGAAGCACCAACAACCATAGAGAGGGACTGGAGGACCACCGAGAGGGACTGGAGGACCATAGAGAGCACCAACAACCATAGAGAAGGGAGGGATGATCATAGAGAGGGATTGGAGGACCATAGACTCAAGTGTGAACCCCCAAAAGGTGCAGGGTACGGATCGGGGTCACGACCTGGGGGGGATTGGGATCATAGAGAGGGGTTGGAGGACTGGGGAGAGAGCGCCGACTGCCATAGGGAGGGATTAGAGGACCAGAGAGGGGGTTTGGAGGACTGTGGGGAGGGGTGGGAGGACCAGACAGAGGGACAGGAGGACCATGGAGAGGGAAGGGAAGACCATAGAGAAGGACTGGAGAACCAGAGAGGGGATTGGAGGACTGTGGGGAGGGGTGGGAGGACCATAGAGAGGGACTGGAGGACCATAGGGAAGCGCCAACAACCATAGAGAGGGACTGGAGGGCCACGGAGAGGGACTGGAGGACCAGAGAGAGGAACTGGAGGACCATAGAGAGCACCAACAACCATAGAGAGGGACTGGAGGACCAGAGAGTGGGACTGAAGGATCGTGGAGAGGGACTGGAGGACAATGGAGAGGGAAGGGAAGACCATGGAGAGGGACTGGAGGACCTGAGAGTGGGACTAAAGGACCATGGAGAGGGAAGGGAAGACAATAGAGAGGGATTGGAGGACCATAGAGAGGGACTGGAGGACCATAGGAAGTGCCAACAACCATAGAGAGGGACTGGAGGACCATGGAGAGGAACTGGAGGACCATAGGGAACACCAACAACCATAGAGAGGGAAGGGATGATCATAGGGAGGGGTTGGAGGACTGGGGAGAGAGAGCCGACAACCAGAGAGAGGGAAAATAAAACCATAGAGAGAGACTGGAGGACTTGAGACAGAGCACCAATGAGAACCATAGAGATGAGTGAGAACCATAGAGATGAACAAGAACCATAGAGACGAAATAGACCTCCAACATAGAAAACAACCATAGAAAGAAGCAGAACAACCACAGAGACATACAAAAACCATAGAGATGAACAAGAACCATTGAGACGAACTGGACCTCCAAGCACACAAAACAACCATAGAGATGAACAAGAACCATAGAGACGAATGAGAACCACAAAGAACTGGACCTCCAACATAGAAAACAACCATAGAGACGAACAAGAGCCATAGAGACAAACGAGAACCATAGAGACGAATGAGACCTCCAACACAAAGAACAACCATCGAGATGAACAAGAACCATAGAGATGAATGAGAACCATAGAGATGAACGAGACCTCCAACATAGAAAACAACCCTAGAGAGCACCAGAACAACCATAGAGACAGACAAAAACCATAGAGATGAGAACCATAGAGATGAATGAGAACCATAGAGACGAACAAGAACCATAGAGACAAATGAGATCTCCAAGATAGAAAACAACCATAGAGACGAACGAGAACCATAGAGACGAACTGGACCTCCAGCATAGAAAACAACCATAGAGATGAAAGAGAACCATAGAGATGAACAAGAACCATAGAGATGACCTGGACCTCCAAGCGCACAAACCAACCCCAGAGAGGAGCACAGCAACCATAGAGACGGCCAAGAACCATAGAGACGAACGAGAACCATAGAGAGAAACAAGAACCATGGAGACGAAGGAGAACCATAGAGATGAATGAGAACCATAGAGACGAATGAGAACCATAGACAGGAACAAGAACCATGGAGACGAAGGAGAACCATAGAGACGAATGAGAACCATAGAGATGAACAAGAACCATAGAGACGAATGAGAACCATAGAGACGAACAAGAACCATAGAGATGACCTGGACCTCCAAGCGCACAAACCAACCCCAGAGAGGAGCACGGCAACCATAGAGACGGCCAAGAACCATAGAGATGAACGAGAACCATAGAGAGGAACAAGAACCATGGAGACGAGGGAGAACCATAGAGATGAATGAGAACCATAGAGACGAATGAGAACCATAGAGAGGAACAAGAACCATAGAGACGACCTGGACCTCCAAGCGCACAAACCAACCCCAGAGAGGAGCACGGCAACCATAGAGACGGCCAAGAACCATAGAGACGGAGTCCTCCAAGGGACCCCGTAGGGAAGGAAAGGCGGGGGAGGGGAGAGCTTGGAGGACCCACCTGGGCCGGGCTGTAACCCTCATAGAGGTGGAAGCGGCCCTGCAAGATGGCGCACGGAACGGAGCCCAGGAATCCAACCACCAGGCGGCCAGCGTGGCCCGAAACTGCGCCAAACGGACCCACAGACCCATAAGTGCCCCATAAGTGACACACAGTGCCCCATAAGTGACATCCCAGACCCATAAGTGCCCCATAAGTGCCACCTGAGACCCATAAGTGCCCCATAAGTGACATCCCGGACCCATAAGTGCCACCTTGGACCCATAAGTGCCCCGTAAGTGGCAACCCAGACCCACAAGTGCATCATAGGGACCCATAAGTGACATCCCAGACCCACAAGTGCCCCATAAGTGCCACCTCAGACCCATAAGCGCCCCATACATTCCACCTTGGACCCATAAGGACCACCCTGGACCCGTAAGTGCCCCATAGCGACCCATAAGTGCCACCTCGGACCCATAAGTGCCCCATAAGTGCCACCTCGGACCCATAAGTGACATCCCACACCCACAAGTGCCCCATAAGTGACCCATAAGTGCCACACAGTGACCCATAAGTGACATCCCAGACCCACAAGTGCCCCATAGTGACCCATAAGTGGCATCCGAGACCCATAAGTGGCAACCCAGACCCACAAGTGCATCATAGGGACCCATAAGTGACATCCCAGACCCATAAGTGCCACTCTGGACCCATAAGGACCACCCTGGACCTATAGGTGCCCCATAGCGACCCATAAGTGCCACCTCAGACCCATAAGGACCCATAGTGACCCATAGGTGCCCCATAAGTGCCCATAGTGACCCATAAGTGCCCCATAAGTGGCATCTCAGACCCATAAGCGCCCCATAGTGACCCATAAGTGGCATCCCAGACCCATAAGTGCCCCATAGTGACCCATAAGTGCCCCATAAGTGCCACCTCGGACCCATAAGTGCCCCATAGCGACCTATAAGTGCCCCATAAGTGCCCCATAGCGCCCCATAAGTGCCATCCCAGACCCATAAGTGAAACCCTGATGAGATATGGGGTCCACTCCCCATAACCCCCCCCCCCAGCCCCCCGCTGGGGGGGGGGCCCCCCCCCCCAACCCCATTTAGGGGGGGGACCCCCCCCCCATAGGGACCCATAGAGACCCTACAGACACTCATAGAGACCCCATAAACCCCCTCGGACCCCCATATATGGGGTCGACCCCCC